CTTGAGCCTGGAGAAGATTGTATCTTTAAGATTTTGATTCTCCTGGCGAATCTCTTGATTCTCTTGGCGAATCTCCCGATTCTGTTGCATAATCTCTTGATTTTGTTGCCTAAGCTCTTGCACCCTATTTTGCAATTCGGACTCAAATTCTGGATGGAGTCCTGTGTTGTTGATAGAAGAAGAAGACACATGAGAGGAAGAGCCAATGTCTTTACCCTCAGATCCTAACCCATAGAAGCGGCCCTTCTTATTTTTACCACCAGTAACCTCAAACCATATATTAATGTCTTCAAGATCATTTGATTGCACACTTTGAGAAGTTGCATCAGAATTCATGGATGCCTTCCGCCTCATATAATCATCCTATAATAAAGCAGTGTTATTTGACAAAGTTTGAATAATGCATAAAAGTATATAAACCAAATAATTATAGAATAATTAGATAGCAAAACCAATTATCGCAATTTTATGGAAATCTATCATCTCATGCTGAGAAAAAATAATTCACCCAAAACATTAAAATAAATCAAAACATTATATATGAAGGAACATAAACTTCAAAATTGGTTTTTGAAAATTCAACACACAATTGAATCCAACACATTTAGTCAAAGAGATAATACATACATATATGTCAAAGGATAAAGTCCATCCACTGGTTCTATCTCAACCACACAACATACTTAGCTTAACTTAATGACTCATTGGAAAATTTATAAGGATGAAAGAGAAACAAACAAAATTACCAACCAGTTATATTTCTTAAATCTCATAACATAAAACCGGTTTAAAAAGATCAGCTTAGCTTAGCTATTTCTTTGATGTTATTTGAAAGTTAATTTCTGTATGTTTTGTATGTTTTATCAGAATTAAAAAAATCTTAATTCTTTTAATTGTTCTTAATTAACAAAATTTTAATTTTATCCCTTTTTAATATCTATTTTTTCCAAGAAAAATAATAATACACATCATACCAACAAAGAGTGAAATAGTACATTATAACAAGTATTTATAACAAGTATTACAACAATATTTAATGATGTAATTTATAAATGGGATAAAAAAGCATTTTTCTTCTTCTTTATTTTATAAAGAGAACCAGAAGAATAAATTGCATGATGAGTGATACTACAATGGACACTTAAATGCTTATACTGCAGAACGCCAAACGGGACTGGTCTGAATTGAGTGGCTTATCGCCCATTTTTGTTTCCCATAACTCGGAGCTGTGTCTAAAAATTAGCGCAGATTCAATTCAACAGCATCACTTGTAGGAGCCTGCCTTCTATTCTACTAATTTTATTTAATTAGAAGGACCAACACAAATTATACGATATCATAAGCACAATCGAAATTACAACCTCCCACTTACTAGGCTTCAATCTTTTGCAGTGCTTCCAATTATAAGAAAGTTTTCATACCATTAGTGACATGAGATTACTAAGATGTTTATTCTCATGTATACAATTAACTCAACCACGGTTCAAAATTAAATTTCAGAATTATGACACCATTCAAATCATCCCCCAATATATTTTGATCTAATTGCTCAGTCCTATGACAAATAAACTCTATGCTTCCACGTTAGCTTCCAACCAACTTCAACAAGAATTGGATATTAAAAGTAACAAATGACCAACTCTTTTGAAATGTGATAAGAATAGTTTTAAGATTTTGAACATTTTTCAATGATAACTTTTCAATCAGTAATGACTTATTTTCAATCAAATTAGTTAATGAAAAACATCAATCAACAATGTCATGTTCAATCACCTAATTATCCAAATTATTTTGGTGTTTCAACTTCACAACAAGATTTGTCACAAAAAAAAAACATATTTAAAAAGACTCACACTATAACTAGTTAGGTCCCCGGCCATCAGCACAATTCCATTTCAGTAACTCAATATGACAAGCATATTAAACAAAGACTCACACTACAACTAGTCAGGCCTCCGGCCGTCAGCACAATTCCATTTCAGTAACCCAATATGACAAGCATATTAAACAAAGACTCACACTACAACTAGCCAGGCCTCCGGCCGTCAGCACAATTCTAGTAATCAAATATGAAAATTATATTAAATGAAGACTCACACTCCAATCAATTAAGCCTCCAGTCGCCAGCATAATCATAGTGATCCAATATGAAAAACATACTAGAAAATTGTCACTTACATAAACTGAAGCCGACCTCTGATCCACAAATTGTTTAGTTTTCTCATTGTAATGTGTCTTCTTAAACAATTCAAACATTGTAGGGTTTCTTCCCAGCTCCAAAGCCTGCAGTTTGGCTAAAAAATTGAAGGGTTTCTCATTATAATGATGATGTATCATGTAATGCATTATAAATAATGATTGCATTTGAAGATAAATCATTACCATCCTCCTCTTATGCTCACTAATAGGAATAACTGCCTGCTTTGTGTTGAGTTCCTCCTGTGGAAGAAGCTCGATTGGCTTTAGCTATCTCAGACTTGGCCTTGTAATCCTCTGATGTCCATATCTTCTCTAAATCATCCATCACACTTTCTAGAATCCAACCAAGCCTCGCATTTTTTTTAAACAAGTCATTCCTGACATTATGCATTGTATTTCTTAAGATTTCAGCACACTTTGCATTCCAATTTCTTTTAATATCTTCTTCATGTTGTGGCAGCCACTTGTAATTTTTCTACATAAAGGAGAAGCAAAAAGAAGAAATCATACCATATCATAATGAGAAAAAAATAAAGACACAATAGAGATAAGATATACCGCCCATTTAGCAAACCACAATTGCTTATATGAAAGAGGTGTCGCTTTCCAACAATAACATGGATGGTCAAATTTCGCTTGAATTACAGGAAGAATATTTCGCACAGTAGCAACAGAAGGATTAAACCTAATAATCATTTTAAAAAAATTATTATAAATGAAAAATAACTTTAAGCCATTAAATGAAGATATCAAATAATGTAAATTTCAAGACTTACGTTTTTTTTTCAGGATATATCCATGTCTTACCATCCGAGGCATCACGACCCCATGGTGTCAACCTACTAGGAGCATCCTGTGGATTATGAGGTTGAGAGTATTCTGTTCCAGGTGATGGCATTTGAGGAGATGTAGGCGATAATGAGGGTCTAGGTGGTAAAGGGACATCTGGAAGTCTAGTGGATGTTTCTGCCATAATAGGAGATGTTGCTGCCATATGAGGAAGAGAAAGATTTTGATAGTCTCGAGGCAATTGTGCAGATAATGGACTACTCAATTGCTCTCTACCACGCTTTGGGCGACGACTAGCCATCTGTACACTCAACAAAATAAATTAACAGTTAATAAATGAATAAAAACTAAATCATTACAAAGTAAATAAAAACTACAACCAATGGACAAATCATCACAAAATTGAATGTAAATAAAACTAAATCTATAAAAGCCAAATGCAAGCAATGAATGAATCAAACTCAATACTAAATAAAAATGAAATATCATAACCGTGGTTTATGCATCCTCATCCTCATCCTCATCTATATAAAAATCTTCCTCACTATTTTCTGTATCTTCATCATCTTCAAGTTCTGCTTCATGTTCTTCAACTGCATCATCATCTTCTTCATCATCTTCTTCATCTCCACCTTCCTGATCTTCATAAATCATATTATCCATTGGCATATCTACTTCTTCATAATGAATTTCAAACTCTCTTTCATTGTTCAATTCATCATCATTAACAATTACTGGCAATATGACTTCTAATCTATCTGATTGAAATGCCCCCATGTTTATTTCAGATGCAGGAGTGTCAATTATGCTACGAGCCTTAATGTTAATAACAGCTAACCAATTTGACTTTTTTGGACAACAAGGATAATATGTGTAGTACACTTGCATTGCTTGTTGAGCAAAAATGAATGGATCATACTTGTTGTACCTCCGTCGTTCGTGAACTTCAACAATCCCATATTGTTCATGAACCCTCATACCACGATTAGGTGTTGGATCAAACCACTCACATTTAAACAACACTAATCTCTTCGTAGGAAGACCCATATATTCAATCTCCACAATTTCTTGTAGAATGCCATAAAAGTCATGTTCTGATTGTACATAGTCAGCTCCCTTAATACATACACCACTATTATTGGTTGATTTTCGAAGAGCCCATGAACTAGTATGAAACTTATACCCATTGACAAAGTACATAGACCATGTCTTTACTTTCCTCTTTGGGCCCCAAGAAATGTCATGTAAAAATGGATCCATAATGTTATTGGCAAGATTTTGAACCTGCATGACATCATCAATTAGTATTTGTCAAAAGGTTTATTTTAGGTATTATGTAAAAAAATTGTTACTTACATGGTCTTTAAACCAAAATGGAAATTGTTCATTGATTTGAGTTTCTATCTCATTGTCTGTAGCTTGGGGCTTCTCTTCCTTTAATATTTGTACAAAGAGACTGCATAGAAAATAATACATTAATCATAGGTATATTTGGTGTGAGCTCTAATCAATCATATTGTAGTAACACTTACTTTAAATAAGGTTGCACCTCATCACAATTCATTAGAACATATCTTGTCGCAACATTTGCTTCTTCATCATCCAACCAACGGCTTTTACATTCCCCAAACGGTCTTCCAGGATAGTTAAATATGGAAATTGTTGGCAAATCTGATTCTCCACCATCATCATTTCTTATAGGTCTTGCTATTCTTGGGGGAATACCTGGCTCAAAGTAATGTGAGCAAAATATTGCAGTCTCCTCAATTATATAAGCTTCACATATAGATGCTTCAACCCGAGCTTTGTTTTTCACCTTTTGTTTCAATGTATAGAGAAACCTACACAGAGAGAAATGAAACTTAAGATTAATTATTGCACTAATCATATATTTACTTTCAATTCACATGAATAGGTTTCATTACCTTTCAAATGGATACATCCATCGATAATGGACAGGTCCTCCAACCTTAGCTTCATAAGAAAGGTGAACAGGCAAATGCTCCATTGAGTCAAAAAACCCTGGGGGAAAAACCTTTTCTAACTTGCACAATGTGATTACAATATATTTTTTCTAGCAAATCTAGTTGATCTATCATCACCGTGGTGGAACAAAGTTGTTTAAAGAATTGACTAAGCTCCACTATAGGATTCAAGACAACCTCAGGTAAAGTAGCAAAAGCAATGGGAAGCAGGCGTTCCATAAAAACATGACAATCATGGCTCTTCATTCCGTACAACTTTGCTTCTTTCATGTCAACACATCGGGCTAGATTAGATGCATATCCATCTGGGAGCTTCAACTTCTTTACCCACTGACAAATTGCTCGTTTTTGTTCTAAATTCAAAGAATATTTTGCACTTGGTTTCACCATTTTCCCTCTTCTTTCAACAAGTTCATCATCAATCCGTCGACAATATTCTCTCAAGTCCATTCGAGCTTGTGTATTATCTTTTGTTTTCCCTTTTGTGTCCATGACAGTATGAAACAAATTGTCAAAAACATTTTTCTCAATGTGCATGACATCAAGATTATGCCGAATGAGATTACTTTTCCAGTACGGCAATTCCCAAAATATACTTTGTTTTGTCCAATGATGTGCCTCGTTGTAGCCTTCAATTGGTATAGTTTTTCCATAATCAATGACCTTTGGCAAATTTCGTACTCTTTCCCAAACTTCCTCTCCACTTAACCGACGTGGAGGCATTGATTTCTCAACTCTGTTTTTGTAAAATGAGGTTTTATTTCTCCTAAATTGGTGATCACCAGGAAGGAATTGACGGTGACAATCAAAGAAAGATGTTTTTCTCCCATGCTTCAGTTGGAATGCTTTTGAATTCTCCATACATATAGGACATGATAATTTCCCCATTGTTGTCCAACCAGACAACATACTATAAGCAGGAAAGTCATTGATTGTCCACAATAGTGCAGCACGCATACAAAAGTTTTGTTTCAATGAGGCATCATACGTTGATACCCCCTCATCCCATAATAATTTTAATTCATCTACCAATGGCTGTAAATACACATCTATTTTTCCTTTGGGATTATTAGGACCAGGGACGATCAATGTTAAGAACATATATTCTCGTGTCATGCACAGTTCGGGTGGTAGATTATATGGAGTAATAATCACAGGCCAACAAGAATATTGTCTCCCAGATTGCCCAAATGGCGTAAACCCATCAGCACATAACCCAAGCCTCACGTTTCTTGGATCATACGCAAAGTCTGGGTATGCAATATCTAAAACCTTCCATGCCTGGCTATCAGAGGGATGAGAAAGGACATTGGAACCTTGATTATGCTCATAGTGCCATCTCATTTCCTTTGCCCTTTTTTGAGAAGCAAATAATCTTTGTAATCTTGGAATGAGAGGTAAGAACCATAATTGCTTCCTTGCAACTTTCTTTTTTCTTCCATGAAACTTTTTAGAAGAATATCTTTCCTCACAACAAAACTTACATTGAGTTGCACTATCATTATGTTTATAATATAACATACACCCATTCACACAACAATCAATCTTCTTATAGGAAAGACCTAGCTTGGATACCAACTTCTTTGTTTGGTATAAATCTGTAAGCATATGATTGTCTTTAGGCTGTGTCCTCTTCATGAGTTGTGAAATTAAGTTGTACCCTTGTTGTGACATATTAGTTGCTGCCTTAATACATAATAACTGCAAAGCTGCTGAAAGTTGAGATTCCTCTTCACATCCTTCCCACAAAGGTTGTTGGGCAGCACGTAGCATGTCGTAAAATGCTTGTGCATTAGGATTTGGCATCTCTTCAACACCTTCATTATAGTCATCTCTAAAACTTGGCCCAGCTGCATCCATCACCAATGTCTCATATTGACTTGGTTGGTTACCAAGTACTCCATGTGAGGCATGTAAGGTACCTTCTGTTGAAGACATGGGTGAATGATATTCTATGTTTCTCTCACCATGATTTGTCCATATATAATATTTCGGCATGTATCCATATTTATAAATGTGTGTCTTCACCTCATCAAGAATTAGATATGGCCTACATCTACATTTCACACACGGACACCTAAGCTTTCCTGATTGTTGAGTATAAGGTGATCGAAATGCATAAGCGAGAAACTCCTCGACACCTCGCTCAAAATCTACTGTAACCCATTTAGTACTAGGATCTATTCTATTGTACATCCATCTTCGACTTTCAGGGACTTCCATTCTAGAGGAATCCTATGTAAATATTATGTAAAAGTTGAGAAAAGACAATCAATATATATTGCAAACAAATATATATAAATGAATTAAGCAAAGTTTTAACATCAACATACAAATATAAGCAAACCAACGAATTTAAGGACAACTTTAGCAAAAACAAGACTTCCAAACAATCATTAATGGACAACTTTGAAGAAAAATTTAATATTTTTACACGTGGCTATTGATTATTATCTTATCTTGTGCATGTTTTGGGCATAAATTGAAGATTGATGATGGAGACTATAGATTTATAACTTGAACTAGTAGACTTTTGAAATTTCAGATTTGATAGTTTCAACAATTCCTCTCTGTTAAGATTTAATTTGTGCAAGTTTATATTTTTCAGATTTGGAATATGTTTACTTTGCTACTTTTCTTGAAATATTGAGAGGTCATAAGCCTTTATTCGATTGATTGGAAGTTTGAGAGGAAAATTAAAGGAGGAAATTGATTGATTTTCTCTGTTTGTTAAAATTCCAGGATTAATTGTAGCTTAAGTTTAATTTGGAGTTTAAGTGAGATGTCATTGAACTTTGATTTAAACAAGAGCATAAAACTTGAATAACAATTCAGGGATGTTAGTTTGCAATTTTCTTAAGGAATCTCAATTAAACGAGTTGAATTTTTTATGTCAATTAAGAATTATCTAATTTCTCAGGTTATTTCATAAATATTCGTTCCCTGATCTAGTTTTAAAAGTGGGATGGATTATAAGCAGCATAAACATTCACTACAGGGCAAACATTGGTGAAATAATTGCAGCAGATTATATGAGAGTCAACTTTCTATCATTCAGGTTGGTTGTTCGATCAGGACATTGGAGGAAAGAAAAAAGGAATCAAGCAGCAATAATTACCATAACAGTCCAATACTATTTTGAGTTCAATAATCATCACAACGTTCAAGCACCAACTACATTCATAATTCCTTTGACAAATGCCTTTACATACCAACGTACTAATCAAAAAACTTTGACTTAAGCTTTTGAGCAGCCATTATGAGAAAAAAATATCCAACGGAGCCAAGAACAATCCTTAAGCTCATTAATTGCTAAACATACCAAAAATCCTACATTAAGGCGATAGAAACTTGCTATGCAAATGAATGAGGATCAAGATGTAATAAAAACAAGACTGATCTGCACAGAAAAGTAACCAAAAATGCAAATCCCATGAGAGAAAACATAAAAGCAACGCACTGTCCATGAACTATATAGCAGTCTGAAAATCCGAAAAAAATTGCACAGACCGGCATAAGGCAAAATGACAAGGCAAACTTTCTTCTCAATCCATGTACAAGTACAGAAGCGAAAGAATAGGAAAAAAAATTGATGCTGCTACTAAACAGATGCGAATTCTACTAGTAAAATGTGTATTTTGTACCTGTGGGACAAATTAATGAATCCAAAGCCTGTCAGCAAAACCCAAATGAATAATTTTGCAATCTAAACCTATTCACTTCAAGAGAAAGAGAGGGATTAGGATAAGGAAGAAAAGAGAGTCTGAGAAAGAAAAGGATCGAGACGAAAAAGAGAGGAGAGGCCAAGAGCATAATCAACTAACCGAAATTGAGGGTAGATAGCGTGGATCATTGAGGTGGGTCTATGATGGGAATAGTGCCGAGAGCCACCACCGATGATGCAAGACCGAGAACCAGAGCAAACTGAGTGCAGTTGACGGTGAACAAGAGAGGCAGAGGGTGCGATGCAGAGAAAGTGAGAGTGAGTTGATTTTGGGGCTACGGCTGAGTGCAGTTGACGGTAAACAAGAGAGGCAGAGGGTGCGATGCGAAGAAAGTGAGAGTGAGTTGATTTTGGGGCTAGGGCTTCCAGTTGAAAGCGCCGTGGAGAATGAGGGAAAAATGAAAAATTTTATTTCGCTCCTTTTTTTGACAGAAAGCTTCCCTCTTTTTTTTTCAATCACCAGTTTCTTCCTCTGAGTATATAATAGTTAGAAAAAAATACATAACCAAGTATCTAAATAGTAATAATACTATATCAAATAATAATAATACCATGAGAAAAGGAAAATGTTATAAATAATATAAACATATATTAGTTATTTAATTTAAACCTAGCTTTTACGAGAACTTAATAGAAATTCAATATATTTTAATATCTAATCAGATTTTTCTAATTATTATCTTAGATATATTTTATCATCTCTAATTAATTTTCTAAATATTTTCTAATTTCAGGATGACAAATTCAAAGTATTTCTAATTATTGTCTTGGAAATTTAAGATATTGATTCTCCTTTTTATACTTTACCATCCCTTTATTTATCTTAAATATGTATAAAATATTCCTAATTATTGTCTTAGAAATTCAAGATTTATACACAAATATGCATAATTTTCACATTTAATCAGATTTTTCTAATTATTGTATACTTTGTCATCCCTAATCAATTTTTGTCGTAGTTTCTAATTTCAAGATAACTATAAAGAATTTCAAAATATTTCTAATTATTGTCTTAGAAATTTAAGATATTAATTTTCTTTTTTATACTTTACCATCCTTTTATTTATCTTAAACATACATAAAATATTTCTAATTATTGTATTAAAAATTCAAGACATATACACAAATATACGCATAATTTTTACATTTAATCAGATTTTTCTAATTATTATATACTTCGTTGTCCGTAATCAATTTTCCAACTAGTTTCTAATTTCAAGATAACTATAAAGAATTTCAAAATATTTCTATTTATTATGTCATAAATTCAAAATAATGATTCTCTTTTTATACTTTACCGTCCTTTTATATTACTTGTTTTCAATATACATATTTATAATATACTATTACTCCAAGACACAAATGAGAATAGGGATATATATATATATATATATGTTAGTGATTATATATAATACTCTAGGTCAGTTTGAGTACTTCTGTTAAACAAGCTAACCCAACCTACTGGATATATACATCAAGCATGTAGGCAAATTGGACTAGGTTGACTTAGTTATTGTGTTTATTGTTTAGTCCTAAAGTACATGGCACCATTATTGAATCAATGAAAACAAGCTAATAATTAAATATGTTGTTAAATAAGTTATCAATTAGATAAAAGTTCAACATATCTTTACATTTTCCACATATCTCTCATTGTATCTAACTAACTAAAACTTACTCCATGATGATGTAGGAAGAGAAAGAGAAGCAACCCAACAAAAAAGATATTCATATCTTAACAAGACAATATAATCATATCAAATTCTTAGGAACTATATTCATATCTTTTAATTTAACTTCATAAGTTCAAAAAATATTTCACGTCAAAAACTTGCTCCAACAATGAGATTGATTAACCTTTATTTTCTTATGAAAAATATGTATCAATCATCATATTTTTATATATTACATAAATTATTCAAATATTATAAGAAAATTAAAAATTACATAAATTTTGCTAGCAAAAAAAAATTCATAAATTTTGCATTAGCGACACAATTAGCAACGGATTTCTGACGAAATTTAGCCACAGATATTTTTTCCGTCAGAAATTCCGTCGCAAAGTTGGAATAGGCTAACCCCACCTCTTCTGCAAATTACCCATGGATTTGCGACGGAAATTCCGTCGCTAATTTTTGCGACGGAATTCTGACGGAATTTAGCCACAGAAATTTTTTCTGTCAGAAATTCCGTCGCAAAGTTGGAATAGGCTAACCCCACCTCTTCTGCAAATTACCCACAGATTTGCGACGAAATTGCGATGGATTTGCGACGGAAATTCTGTCGCTAATTTTTCGACGGAATTGCGACGGACTTGCCACGGAATTTAGCGACGGAATAATTCCGTCGCAAATTCCGTCAGTATTGGTCATTTAGCGACGGAATTTGCAACGGAATTATTCCGTCGCTAAATTCCATGGCAAGTCCGTCGCAATTCCGTCGGAAAAATTAGCGACGGAATTTCCGTCCCAAATCCATCGGAAATTAGCGACGGAATTTCATTCCGTCGCTAATCCGCTGTTTTTTTGTAGTGTAACAACACATGCCTATACACATGTACATTTATATCTCTAATGATTCACATAACCTTGCACTTGATTTGGAAGCATTTTCCAGATTTAAAAGCATACTCCCACATGCATATATTCTCCCATAGCCTCATAATCCTCTTTTACAGACTTTAATCTATGCCAGCACATACTCTAATCATTTGAAATTTCTATTCATCCGTTAGTATCCTCAAGCAATCTCAACCATAAATTTTAAATCAACTCCTCTACCTTTCATAATCTGGGAGTTATTCCTAACTTCAAGACTATCCTTTAAAACTTAATATAATCAATCTTCAGCTATAATTTATATAACAAAATCACTATTTATTCTATGTGCAGATCTCAAACAAACCCCATGCTCAAGCCTTCAATTCATAACCCATAGTACCAAATTCCAACTTAACAATCCATTATTTTATTATTCACCGACTATATTCCCTTATTTTCCCATTATCTAAATTCATGAAAATCACCTTTAGTAGAATTGATTCCTTTTTAATTTCAACACAACCATTCAGGTCTACCACCAAATGTTTACTAACATAATTACTGCTTCAACTTCATCTTAAAACTCCCCCTCTAAAAAAAATATATATTTCCTATTTAACGTTTTGATGGTAAAAATATACAACAAACCTCTCAGTTAACACCCAAATGCTCACAATTACTTCCACAATCACCATTTCTTAATTAATCCTTTCCTATTACCCATAGTTTATTCACACACTTGCTTCAAACTTGTTTAGAATCCTTTAATTATCTATTTGCTTTTGTTATACGTTACACATCCCCATTTAAAATCTGTAATTTTCCATATTCAAAATACATTCCTAGAACCAGCCTCAATAATCACAAAAGCAAAATAAACACCATCCAAGCTTATATACATTTATGTACATATATTCTCCTCTCAATAACCAGTGAACCCGAAACCATTTAACTATGCA